TCGTCCACGATAGTAAGGACGCTTCGTGGTTTTCGAACCACGTACGTGCAGAATCTTGCAGTGCCACGTAGACGTAGCGAAGTTTCCTAACTTCGTTCCAACCGTTCAGTCTGGCAACGCGTTCGAAACCGTCGAGCCAGTCCTCGGAATCCTCGAAAATATCACCATGAAATACCTCTGGTATGTGGGGTGGGTCCATGACGATATGCGATGGAAATGAACTCGCTTGGGTGGCCATTGCAGGGGCTCCGGAACTTACGTCCTCCACTGGTCTCGAAGAATCGAAGAGGGCACCAAACTCGGGCTGCTCACCTCATAGGCGACGTCTCGTTCGTTGGTGTACGGGAGTCAACTGCGCTGGCTCCAACCTTCGGGGTTCTGGGCTATGTTCCCTATGCTGAGATGGGCTTGGAATCATTACCCCGCACCTCCACCAGTTTGTAACGAACAAATACAGTGCCGGAAGCTAAAACAGCTATTTATTAATGGCGAACTTGTGCCCGTCAACTAAATACACAAAGGTTGTGAGCTCACTCGTCAAAACCTCGTCAACTTCTCCTGCGTCTCGCCTCGAGCTGCTCCTCGAAAAAACCACCAGCGTTCCTTGTCCAGCGCGTGATGTGGAGACACCTGCAGCCAGCGTTGCATGGCGCGTTGGCGCGTTTAGCTTGGCGCGTTTAGCTTGGCGCGTTTAGCTTGGCGCGTTTGGCTTGTCAGTTGGTGTGGCAGCTCCTCGAAAAACCACCAGCGTTCCTTGTCCAGCGCGTGATGTGGAGACACCTGCAGCCAGCGTTGCATGGCGCGTTGGCGCGTTTAGCTTGGCGCGTTTAACTTGGCGCGTTTGGCTTGTCAGTTGGTGTGGCAGAATTCATAAGAGCAGGAAGCGGGGCAAGACTTCGGTAGGTGCCTAACAACATGCGGCAATATGTGGGGTTTAACGTCCCAAAACCACTATATGATTATGAGAGACGCCGTAGTGGAGGGCTCCGGAAATTTAGACCACCTGGGGTTCTTTAACGTGCACCCAAATCTGAGCACACGGGCCTACAACATTTCCGCCTCCATCGGATATTTTCTAGTTCTAATACCATTGTAAACCTTAATCGCTTGCCATGTGACTCGAACACTGATATTGTATCACAACCAGGTGTGGTATCAATGTTACTGAACCTTAAAATTAAATCATCTCCAGGACCAGACAACATACCGAATGCCTTTCTGCGCAGATATGCTGAAGCGTTAGCCCCCTTTTTGGTAATCATTTCTCGTTCTTCGTTGTCGTCAGCTATTCTTCCTGCAGATTGGCTAACTGCGCGTGTCGTTCCCATTCCAAAAAAGGGCGACGCAGCACAAGTAGCCAATTATAGACCCATTTCATTAACGTCCAAGTGCTGCAAATTAGTTGAACATATTATTGCTAAAGAAATAACAAAGTTTTTAAATGATAACAATATACTTTCTCTTCATCAGCATGGTTTTCGCAAAGGGTTATCGACTATAGCACAATTAACGACAATTATTCACTACTTTGCTAGTACACTTGACAAGTCGAGCCAAATCGACGTGATATTTCTGGACTTTAAGAAAGCGTTTGACCTTGTTCCTCCCAGTAAACTTATTGAAAAACTGCAGTCAATTAACCTTCCCGCATATATAGTTAACTGGGTAGCAGCTTATCTGTATAATCGCAAACAGTTTGTATCAATCGGTAATTACTCTTCTAATGAACTTTCAGTAACGTCTGGAGTACCCCAGGGTAGTGTTTTGGGACCTTTACTATTTTTCATATATATAAATGACATCGTTAACGAAATTTTTCCCCCTATTCAAATTAGCCTTTTCGCAGACGTTTGTATAGTGTTTAACAAAGTTTGTTCTCCTAATGATCAATTATTGCCTAATTCTAACCTTCAAAACATCTTGTCGTGGTGCGGGCGATGGGGTATGGAATCGAACAAGGAAAAAACAGTCTACCTGTCTATAACAAAAAAAAATCATTATGATGTCGTTTGCTTATAACCTAGGATCTACACCGCTCACCAAAGTAAACCAATACAAGTATCTTGGAATCACGATAACCAGTGACCTAAGTTGGAATAACCACATTTCCAACATATGTAACTCCTCCTTCAAAAAACTGTGTATCCTCAGGCACAAACTAAAGCACACTCCTCATTCTACTGAAATGCTAGCCTACACTTCACTCATTCGCCCGAAACTAGAATATGCAAGCATCGTATGGGATCCCTACACAAAAACTAACATAAACGCTGTAGAGATGATTCAACGCAGAGCAGTTAGGTTCATTTTTTCTAAATACAGAATAACTGACTCTCCCACTAGCCGAATGAAACAACGTAATATCCAGACACTTCAGCTTCGAAGGAAAATACACAGGCTAAAATTTCTCTACCAACTGAAAAACAACTATTTCTCTCTAAACCCACACGCGTATGTGACACCACTTGCAGCACGTCGAACACGGCATCGTCACGAATTTTCTTTAACACCATATAAGACCAGAACTAACCTTTTCAAATATTCTTTCTTTCCGCGCACTATAAACGATTGGAATAATCTGCATTTATCACAACTAATAAGCATGGACTCCATTGAACATATATCTACTTGATGTTCGCCATTGTCATGTTGATTAATCTTTCATTTCTTATTTTTAGTGCTCCTTTTTTGTATTTCAATTCTTTTTTTTGTATTTCAAGTGTCTCGCGGGGGTATAGGCAAATGTTTATGCGCATGCCATGTGTTCTGTTATCTCTTTCTGACGTTGTTTTCATTGATTATGTTTTTCGTATTTCTTCAGTGTACATCTTGTTTAGTTGCGACTTTCTCCTTTCATTTTTTTTGTGATTGCTGTTCACGGATATATGCATATGCGTATATATATATAAGTGTATATATGTGTGTGTGTGTGTATGTGTATATTTATATTCATGTATTTGCCCTCCTGCTTGGACCCAAATAAGGTCTGCAGTATTGTATAAATAAATAAATAAATAAATAAAAATAAATACAGCCCTCGAAGAGCCCGTGGTCTTCACTCATTGTACTGGTGAAAAAGAAGGACGGTACCTTACGGTTCTGCATCGATTATTGCCGCCTGAACAGCGTCACCAAAAAAAGACGTCTACCCGCTTCCGAGGATCGACGATACTTTAGACCGACTCTGCGGCGCCAGGTATTTCTCGTCGATGTACTTCAGAAGAGGCTACTGGCAGATAGAGATGGACGACAGGGGCCGTGACAAGACCGCCTTCATCACGCCGGATGGACTTTACGAGTTTAAGGTCATGCCGTCCGGCCTATGCTCAGCAACGGCGACATTTCAGCGTGTCATGTACACGGTACTGGCCGGGCTGAAATGGCAGACATGCCTCGTCTACCTCGACGACGTCATCGTTTTTGCACCCACCTTCGACAAACATCTTCACAGACTGCAGACCGTACTAGAGGTGATCAAGGCGTCGGGACTCACTCTGAAACCGCAGAAATGTCATTTTGCCTACGAAGAGCTCCTTTTTCTCGGACACGTGCTCACTCGCGAAGGAGTCCGCCCCGAACCCAGCAAGACGGCAGCCATTGAAAATTTCCCCACACCATCTGACAAGAAAGCTGTCCGTAGATTCTTGGGCCTCTGCGCGTATTACAGGCGTTTTGTGCGAGACTTCTCACGGATCGCCGAGCCCCTCACATGCCTTACGAAAGTCGACGTGCAGTTCTCGTGGCAGAAGCCTCAGGCGGACGCTTTTCGTCAACTTCATAGACGCTTGCAGTCACCGCCAATACTGGGTCACTTCAACGAAAGCACCGACACCGAGGTCCACACAGATGCAAGCGGCATCGGACTTGGCGCAGTATTGATCCAGAAGAAGAACGACCTCGAGCGAGTCATCGCCTACGCGAGTCGGTCCCTGTCGAAAGCGGAGTTGAACTATTCAACGACAGAAAAGGAATGCCTCGCTGTCGTTTGGGCAGTCTCGAAGTTTTGATCATACCTTTACGGGAGGCCCTTCAAGGTTGTTACTGACCACCACGCCCTGTGCTGGCTTGCCAGCCTAAGTGACCCTTCAGATCGTCTTGCTTGTTGGAGCCTGCGGCTGCAGGAGTACGACGTCACCGTCGTCTATAGGTCAGGCCGAAAGCACACAGACGCCGACTGCCTTTCCAGAGCCCCCGTTAATACCTTCGTGCCATGCGATGACGACGACGATGATGCACTCCTCGGTCCCGTTAGTTCTGATACCTTCGCAAATGATCAACGCGCCGATCCTGATCTTCGCGGCGCGCTGGAATACCTCGAAGGCAAGACCGATATACCGCAGAAAGCATTCAGGCGGGCGATTTCGTCGCTGTGCCTGCGAAATGACGTACTTGTGAAGAAATACTTTACGCCGCAGAAAACAACACACCTACTTGTGGTTCCAGTCAGTTTACGGCAAGAAGTTTTAGAGGCGTGTCACGACGAGCCGACAGCAGGACACATGGGGTTAACGCGAACACTGCGACGAATCCAAGGGAAATACTGTTGGCCCGGCATGAGCGCGGACGTCGCACGCTACGTCAAAACCTGCCGAGATTGCCAGCGTCGGAAAACACCACCTACGAGGCCCGCCGGCCTCCTGCAACCAATCGAACCACCGGAGAAACCATTCCTTCAAATCGGGGTGAATCTGCTAAGACCCTTTCCGAATTAGACCAACGGGAACAAGTGGATATTGGTAGCAACAGACTACCTGACACGCTACACTGAGACAGCCTCACTACCATGCGGCACTGCAAAAGAAGTCGCCAGTTTTTTCGTGAAGAGCATTGTCCTCCGGCACGGCGCACCCATGGTCCTCATCACCGACAGAGGTACGGCATTCACCGCTGAACTCACGCAGCAGATGCTATGCTTGAGCCACACTTTCCATCGCAAAACCACAGCCTATCACCCGCAGGCAAACGGCCTAACGGAGCGCTTGAACAAGACCCTCGCCGACATGCTCGCCATGTACGTTGACGCCGGGCACAAGACTTGGGATGAAGTCCTCCCTTACGTCACCTTTGCGTACAACACCACACCACAAGAGACAACGCAGATGACACCTTTCGAACTTGTCTTCACCCGCCCAGCCAGTTCCATGCTGGATGCAATGTTGCCCCACGTCGACGACAGGAGCGCCCATGGGTACGTGGCCGATTTCCTTCAGCGTGCCGAGGAAGCCCGCCAGCTCGCCCGCATGCGTATCAAAGAGCAGCAACACACGGACAGCCGAATCTACAACCTACGACGGCGCGACCAGAAGCACGCACCCGGTGACCGCGTTATGGTGTGGACACCGATTCGCCGCCAGGGCTTCAGTGAGAAACTCCTACGCCGGCATTTTGCACCATACAAGGTAACGCGACGACTCGGGCCCCTTGTCTACGAAGTTGTACCTGATGGAGTGACACAATCACAGCAGTGACACTCGCGACCTGAAGTAGTCCACGTCGCGCGTCTCAAGAAGTTTTTTCAACGATATACTAAGAGACATTTTCATCGCTCCGCTCTTAGTACGTGTTAACAATTTCCATTTTTTTTGTAGCTAGTGTGTTCCTTTAGCATCGGGACGATGCTCTGTCTCCCGGAGGGGCAGTGTCACGTGTGTTTAGAAAAGATGCGGACCTAACCTAATCACTTTCCATATCCGGTTTTTGTGTGTGTGGCACTTCATCCGCTTTTTGTGTGTTGGAGTGTATCCGCAAGCCATCTTGATGCCCGGATGTGCTGTAAGATACTGGATTGATAAGGGATCGTCACACCCACCGGTGGGGATTCGGTCAGCCACCATTCGGGCACGCTGGCTTCGTCTTTTCTTTTCGCTGTTGCCGAGCAGTGTTTTTTTAGTTTGCTTTCGGGCGCAAGTCAGCCCCAATAAAGTACCCTAAGTTTTATTGCAACCGGGGTCTGCCTTTCTGCTCGTCTGTGCACCGGCCAGCTCAACGTCACCTACGTGACAATACCCTGTGACACATGCCCGCTTTCTGCGCCCATCTATCCGTCCGTCCGTCTTCGATCCTGTCTCTCCAACCTTCTGTGTGTTCGTCCGCGCGTCCAGGTAGTGAACACTCCGAGCACCGCCATATCGCATCTCGCATACCCTGTGGCACATACCCGCTTTACGAGTCCATATATCCGTACGTCCGTCTGCTAGTCTGTCTGCCCGTCCGTCTATGCGTTCGTCTGTGTGTTCGCCAGTGAACACTCCAAGTACTGCCATCTCGCATACCGTGTGGCACATACCCGCTTTACGTGTCCGTCTATCCATCCATCAGTCTGTTATATCTGTCTGTCCACCCATGCATCCGTCCGTGCGTCCAGCTAGTAAACACTCCAAGTACTACCATCTCACATCTCACATACCCTCTGGCACAAACCCGCTTTACGCGTCCGTCTATCCGTCCGTCCATCTGCTAGTTTGTCTGTCTTTCCGTCCATGTGTCCGGGTGTGCGTCTATCTAGTGAACACTACAAGTACCGCAATCTCGCATCTCGTATACACTGTGGATCTTACCGGCTTTACGCGCACGTCTATCCATCTGTCCGTCTGCTAGGCTGTCATTTCGTCTGTCCGTGCGTCCGTCTGCGCGTCCATCTAGTGGACACTCCAAGTACCACCGTCTCACATACCCTGTGGCGCATACCCGCTTTACGCATCTATCTATCCGTATGCCCATGTCCGTTCGTCTGTGCGTCCGTCCGTGCGTCCAGCTAGTGTACACTCCAAGTAACGCCATCTTGCACGCCCTCGGGCACATACCCCCTTTACGCGTCTGTCTATCAGTCTCTCCATCTGCTAGACTGTCTGTCCATCTGTCCATGCGTCCATCCGTGCGTTCATCTAGTGAACAGTCCAGGTACCGCCATCTCACATATCGGATCTCTGTGTCCCAAACCCGCTTAACGCGTCCATCCATCCACCCATCCGTCTGCTGGTCTGTCTGTCCGTCCATGCGTCCGTCCGTGCGTCAATCTAGTGGACACTCCAAGTACCACCATATCGCTTACACTGTGGCACATACCCACTTTACGAGTCCGTCTATCCATCCGTCCGTCTTCTAGTCTGTTCCCGTCCGCCCATGCGTTCGTCCGTGCGTCCTGCCAGTGAACACTTCAAGTATTGCCATATCACGTACCATGTGGCACATACGCGCTTTAAGTATCCGTCTATCCATCCAACTGCCTGCTATGTCTGTCTGTCCATCCATGCGTCCGTCCGTGCATCCACCTAGCGAACGCTCCAAGTACCACCATCTCACATCTCGCATACCCTATGGCACATACCCGCTTTACGCGTCCTTCTATCCGTCCGTCTATCTGCTAGTCTGTCTGTCTGTCTGTGTGTCTGTCCATGCGTCCTTCCGCATGTCTATCTAGTGAACACTACAAGTACCGTCATCTCGCATACCCTGTGACACATACCTGCCTTACGTGTCCGTTTATTCATCCATCCGTGTGCTATGCCTGTCTGTCCGTCCATGCGTCCATCCGTGCGTCCAGCTAGTGAACCCTCAGGGTACCGCCATCTCAAATCTCGAATATCCTTAGGCGCATACCCCCTTTACGCGTCCGTATATCCATCCGTCCGTCTGCCTGCCTGCCCGTCTGTCTGGCTGTACGTCCGTGCGTCCGTCCGTGTGTCCATCCAGTGAGCACTACAAGTACACACTTCTGGCACACCCTGTGGCACATAGCCACTTTACGCGTCCGTCTACCTCTCCGTCCATCTGCTTTTCCGTCTGTCTGTCCGTCCATGCGTCCGTCCGTGAGTCCATCTAGTTAACACTCTGAGTACTGCCATCTCGCATCTCGTATGCCCTGTGGCACCTACCCGCTTTACGAGTCCGTCCATCCGTCTGTCGGTCTGCTAGTCTTTCTGTCCACCTGTCCATGTGTCCATTCGTGCTTCCATCTAGTGAACACTTGAAGTACCGCCAACCCGCATCTCACTTACCATGTGGCACATACCTGTTTTACGCGTCGATCTATCCGTCCGTCCGTCTGCCTGCCTGTCTGTCCATCCGTCCATGCCTCCGTCCGTGCGTCCAGCTAGTGAACACTCGCTGGGCGCACGGAATACCCTGTGGCACATACCCGCTTTACGGGTCCGTTTATCAGTCCGTTCGTCAGTTAGTCCTTCTGTTCATCCACTCGCAGTACCACAATTACGCGTCCGTGTGTCAGTTCGTCCATCGCCTGTTTGACTGTTTGTCACTGTGTCCGTCCGTGCGTCTATCCAGTGAACACCCCAAGTACTTCATCTAAATCTCGCATACCTTGTGGCACATACCCGTTTACGCGTCCGTCTATCCGTCCGTTCGTCTGCTAGTCTGTCTGTCCATCCGTATGTGCGTCCGTCCGTGCGTTCATCTAGTGAACACTCTAAGCACTGCCATCTCGCATACCCTGTAGCACATATGCGATTTTCACGTACGTCTATCCGTCTGTCCGTCTGCTAGTCTGCCTATCCATGCGTCCGTCCGCGCGTCCAGCAAGTGAACACTCCAAGCACCACCATCTCGCATGCCCTGTGGCATATACCCGCTCTATGCGTCTGTCTATCTATCCATTTGTCCGTTTCTAATCTGTCTGTTCATCTGTGCGTCAATCTAGTGAACACTCCAAGTACCGTCATCTGGCATCTCACATACCCTGTGGCACATACCCGCTTTACGCGTCCGTCTATCCGTGCGTTCGTCTGCTAGTCTGTCCGTCCGTCTGCGAGTACGTCCGTGTGTCCAGCTAGTGAGCACTCCAACCACCGATATCTCGCATCTCGCATACCCTGGGGCACATACCTGCTTTTCGCGTCTGTCTACCCGTCTGTCCGTCTGCTAGTCTATCTGTCTGTCCATCCATGCATCCGTCCGTGGTCCAGCCAGTGAACACTCCAAGTACTGCCATCTCGCATACCGATTGGCCCATACTCGCTTTACATGTCTGTCTCTCCATCAATCCGTCTGCTATGTCTGTCTGTCCGTCCATGCGTCCGTCCATGCATCCATCTAGTGAACACCACAAGTACCGCCATCTGGCGTCTCGTATACCCTGTGGCACATACCCGCTTTACGCGTCCGTCTATCCGCACGTCTGTCTTCTAGTCTGTCTGTCTGTCCGTCCATGCATCCGTCTATGCGTCCATGTAGTGTACACTACAAGTACCACCATCTCGCATCTTGAATACCCTGTGGCACATACCCGCTTTACGGGTCCGTTTATCCGTCCGTTCGTCAGTTAGTCCTTCTGTTCATCCATCCGTCCGTCCGTCCATCCGTCCATGTGTCCATTTGGTGAACACTCCAAGTACCGCCGTCTCGCATCCCCTGTCGCACAAACCCACTTTACGCGTCCATCTGTTCGTCTGTCCATCTGCCAGTCTGTCTGTCCATAAATGCGTCCGTCTATGCGTCCGTCTAGTGGACACTCCAAGTACGGCCATCTAGCATACCCTGTGACTCATACCCATTTTACACGTCCATCTATCCGTCCATCAGTCTGCTAGTCTGTCTGTCCGTCTGTCTGTCCGTCTGTCCATGCGTCCGTCCGTGCGTTCATCTAGTGAACAGTTCAAGTACCGTCATCTGGCATCTCGCATACCCTGCGGCACATACCCGCTTTATGCGTCCGTCTATCAGGCCGTCCGGCAGATATTTCTTCAGGGTCTTTTGTACCACATCCCAAAAAATATCGGACCCAGCACTCACTCACAGCATGTCCAACCGTTTTCCCCGCCGGAAATTTTTTTCGCGATAGCAGAGAGAATAACAAATGACCATTTCAAGGGGGTGCCTTGCCCGAAATGAAGCAGGCGCCCCCCGCCTGATTCCCCCTCGAAAAAATTTCTGGCTACGCTTTCCTTGACACGAGTAGATGTGCTGGAAGCAACAGTACCTTCAACCAGTAGTGGGGCACAACCCAACATCAGCCTCCAAACACTCCTTGAAGGACGTGCTTCTTCATAATTCCGTAAATAAGACGAAATAACAATACCCAATAACGACACATACACGCGATCCCCCCCCCCTCACTCTGCGACGCATTTACTCGGGTTCTTTCCGCGGGAACATGCGGGTGGCTTTTTTTAAACTCATCGCGATCCCAAAGTGGCTCAAAGAAATGATGATCAAGGTCATTTCCGTAGCCGATTTTGCGTCCCGGGACACAACAATAAGGCATTGTTTATTGGCGCTCTTGTCACATGTTAGAACTCTTTCGTAAGGAACGACAGTTCATTAAATAATGGCGCGAAGAAGCAACCGAGCGCCGAAAACGTGTTGTCGTGTCTAAGCGGCAACACGCGCGTCGCGACGCGCGGCGTGGTATGTGAAGCAAGACGGAACAGTAGCGCCATTAGTTCACGCGTCAGCCACTCGTGCCGGCGCGCGCGGGGAGCTGCGGAACTGACCTGGTTCAAGTAACGTTGGC